AATGAAGAATACACTTGGTCAATTATATTTATCTCATATCTGTTTTTGATCAAGAAGTTCAGTATCTTTTATATGCACTTGGCGTATGTTTTTTTTTTTTAAAAAAAGGTTTTTTATGGGATAAATATATATTACTATTTTTTGATAAAGTATATACAAAGCGATTCGATTTAAGTAATAAATAATTTCTGAATCTTTTTCTGGAAATAAGCGCGGTTCTTCCAAAATGATTTCACACAAGAATTATTTTGTGTTTCAGTGAGAAAATAAGATTATAAAATTATTACTTTTTTTCTCTCATTTTAATAAATCAACGCCTTATTTTAATACTCTTTTATCTGAGATCTTGCTTGCACTCTCCCACCGTTCGAACCTCTTTCGAATCCTGCGACGTACAATCCGACGAGCTGCATCCGCGCATTCGAAAGTTAGGTCGTTACAAACGAGATAATAATTGGTAAAAATTACCGAATACATGCGTCCGCCCGGCCTACTACTACTAACAGTATACACCCATGATGGCTCAATGGCGCGCGGACCGCGGAGAGCGGAGACTGCCTGGCAAGCGCGCCGCTGTCTGAGTCACGATGATTGGAGCTCGCGGCGCGCGACGTTGTGCGCGGAGTGGGACGCTTGCCAGGCAGTCCCCGCTCTCTGCGGTCCGCGCGCCATCGAGCTCAGTGTTGCTAACTTAGCTATTTTCTGGCTAGATCTAGCTATTTTTTCTTCGATCTAGCTCGCAAATATTGACTTTTGCTATTAGCTATTTTTCTGGATATTTCTTTAAAGATAATACAGAGCTAGCTAGCTATTTCTTATGAATTTGATTCTTGAAATTTTTTATTGGATACCAATCGTTGTACGTTAAAATTTTCCAACTAACGTAGCGAACATACCCAGAAAGATACGTAATGAGAGCCTAGAGATGGTTTACCACTCTAGGCCATGGTGGAAATATATAAGGTGAGTCGTTGCGCATAATGGCGGCAAAGAGTGGGGGACATATATAGTCAGCTAATCACTTATGACCCATTGTGCACGCGCGGAATTTAAATATTCACAGGAGATTATTAATAAGAACACAGTATTAAAAGTTAAAATAATAACGAAATATTCATAACATTTATTAAAATATAAAAATATTACAAACTAATGCTTTATAATTGAAATAATAATAATAAAAGGAAGGAATATTTAATAAGACTGTATATATTAATAAAATAATAAAAATAATAAAATTCTTCATTTCGTGGGTTATCTCCATGTCTGACTTTATAAAGAATAAAACGTTGGCATTTTAATATAGAGTCAACACAAAGATAATCTGCGAAATAGAGAATTTTTAATATTACATACTGTAACAATATTATATTAATTAGAATATTATATTAATTAGAAACAAGATTGCACATTTTTTTTGTTTTTCTTTCTTTTCTTCTTATATTAGTATTTTTTATTTGTATATTTATATTGCGCAATTTAATATACAATCTGGTTCGCACCAAACATGCGATCACCTCCGTCGGAAATTTGTACTTAATTTTCAGACATACTTTCGCGGTTAATTTATCAAAAATTTTATCCTTCATACAAAAAAAGTTTCCGTGAAATAATTGAAATTCAGCTTCCATAATTTTTGCTGCTTCCATGAAATCATTGGAAGGAAGGATACAATTTCCACGCGAAATGCATGAAATCCAGTCATCGCGCGGAGGTAACTTTTTGGTAGAAGTGCCCAAATGCTTATATTTATGGCAGAAACGATGAGCTACATAGCTAACTACATATACCAACGCTTGTGACTCGATGTCTCTTGCTCCAATATCGGCTTCAAATTCCTGTAATAAGGCCCATTCGTCTTCTGCTGCTAAGTAATTAGTTATTTGGATAGCTGTTAAATAAATATTTAAAAAATGAATGTAAATACAATGTGACTACAGTTCTTGATGCAACAGGTCGGCATGCTGTCTGAAGAATATATACTTATTACATATTGTACCTACTAACCTCCCCAGACAGTGCAACCGTCATTGGATTTTCCCAATAATGGTTGCGACGCATCGGCAATAAGCCAACGTCAACTAATAAATTTGATTCCTCAGCAGAAGAGAAACGAACAGCCCATGGAGGAGGAAAATCTGGAGGAGGAGCAGATCCGGTTCAAGAGGAATTACAGGAGACTGACTCCACTCGATGAGGACGACGAGGAGGAACCGGCTCTCGACGCTCAA